CCTAGTAAAAATATAAACTTTACTTATACATAAATAAAAAATATTTATTAAATTTTTTTCAAAAAATTTATTTATTTGTATTATTAAAAACTAAATTATAAAATAAAAAATAATAAAAATTTAATATTTGGTTGGATGACCTTTATTTCTTATAGCTTCAGCAACTCTATATCGCATACTTTTTACTAATTGAATAAGTTTACTTTTATCAATTTTGTACCATTCAGTTTGTAATGCTGCAAAAAATTCATTTTTATTTTTTGGCATAGGTCTATGGTTTCTAATTCTTTTTTCAAGTTCATTCCATAAATTTTCAATTGGATTAAGATCAGGACTTTGAGCTGGCCAAGGAAATACTTCAGTTAAATTTTCTTGCTTCCATTCTTTAGTTTTTTTTGAAGCATGACAAGGTGCATTATCATCTTGAAAAATATGATTTTCTGCACCTAAACTATCTAAAAATGGAATTAAATGTTCTTTAAGTAATTCTATATATTTATCAGAATTAAGTGTACCTTCAATCAAAACTAATGGACCTAATTTATCATTGCAAAAACATCCCCAAACCATAACTCCAATTGAATTTTTAACTGTAGGTTTTAAACATTCAATTTTATATCGTTCATCTTTTTTTCGCCATACCCAATTTCTAGAATCATTATTGAATAATTCGAATCTTGATTCATCACTCCAAATAATATTTTCCCATTCCTTAATCCAATTTTTTTTCATATTACACCAACCAAATCATTTTTTTCTATTTTGTTCTGAAATAAAAGGTTTTTTTTTTGCAGCATGTCCACTATAGCCTTCTTCATGTAAAACTCTTTGAACTGTTCTACTAGAAATTGAAAAATTTAATGTTTCATTAAATTTTTCAGTAATTTCAACTAATGTTAAATTTCTATTAGCTTTAATAATTTTTACCAATTGTCTTTTATCTCGATCAGTTAATATTTTTGGTCTACCTGATCGTGGAATAGTAGAAGTTAGACCTTGTTCATTATATTTTTTTATTACATCTCCAACTGTAGATTTAGGATGATTTAATATTTCAGCAATTTTTCTTTGTGGAATTTTTGCTTTATGTAAACCAACAATTTCTCCACGTTCAAAATCAGTAAGTTCCTTTCTTTTAGGCATAATTTTAAAATTTTATAATAATTAACAAGAATATATTTTTAAAAAATTTTATAACCAAAATAATTTATAAAAATTTTTTAAAACAATTTTATAATCAAAATAATTTACAAAAAGAATTTTAAAATTTACTATTTTATTAAATATTCTTTATATTATATAAAAGTTACCATATAAAATAAAAATCAACAGTATGCAGTTCTTTATTATTTTTTAAAAGTACATATCAAAATTTAGAAATATTTTATTTTATTTTATAAACTTTCTATAGTAAATTTTAGGATGATCTGTGAAAATACTTAAATAATAATATTTTTTTTTTATTTGTGCATAAGTAAAGTTTATATTTTCACTAGA